TGCATGGTATATATGTGTACCTTTAAGTGCTTGAAAAGGTTAGAGGTATTTAGTCCCTTTAAGCTGGAGTAACAGGTTGTTGTGAACCACTGTCCAACATGGGTGCTGGAGCCATCTCTCCAGCCCAGTCACATTGTCTTTTTTTGTTTTGTTTTGTTTTTTGTTTTTCAAGACAGGATTTCTCTGTGGCTTTGGAGCCTGTCCTGGAACTAGCTCTTGTAGACCAGGCTGTCCTCAAACTCATAGAGATCCTCCTGTCTCTGCCTCCCAATTGCTGGGATCAAAGGCGTGTGAGAGTGACTAGGGCCATGCAAGGTGGCAAAGTGGTGCCCTGACGACCCCTTGACAGTCTGCCAAGAATGACCTGTTTTACATACTGACTTGGATCTAAACCACCTTAAGTATCCAAGCCCTCTTAGGTGTTCTAATAACCTGTATATCATCTGCATTTTTCTTGGTAAGAATCATATTATCTAGGCAGTTATATATGATATTTTTAGTCTTGACATTTAACCCAAGTAGGCTTCAAACCTATGGTTCTCCTACCTCAACCTACTGAGGATGCCCAGCTGTGTTATTTATTTTTGTATGTTTGGGTTGTTGAGATAGGTCTTGTTAAAGTAGTCCAGCTGACCTGGAACTCATTAGTCTTAAAACTTGCTGTGATACTTCTTTCTCTTTCTCCTGGGAAGTATGATGACAAGTATTTGCCATTGTGTCCAGAGAATGAGTGAATGGATATTTATTTACTTATTTACTTGTTGAGACAAAATCTTGATGTATACTTATCCCTAGTTGGACTCATACCATGTAGCCCAGGCCAGTCATGAACCTGAGTCAATGTTTCTGCCTCAGTTTTTAGAGTGATACAGTTACAGGCATGAGCCACCAGGCCCATCTATTCCTTTAATTTTTTAAAATAGCGGGCTAGAGAAATGGCTCCATGATTAAACACATGTATTGCTCTTCCAGAGAACCCAAGTTCAAATTCAAGAATTCATATCTGGTGACATAACCACCTATAACTCCAGCTCCAAGGGATTCCAAAATCCCTGGCCTGTGTGGGCCCCTGGACTCATGTGCACATAGACACAATGACAATACATACAATTAAAAATAATAAAAAAATTTATTGATTTTTAAGTAAAGAAAAATTAATATTGACATAAAACATAAAAATCAGGACTTACAGACTGCTCAGCTGGTAGAGTACTTGCCTAGCCCATACTACCTAAACTGGGTGTGGTGCTACATGCCTTCACTTCCAGAACACAGGATGGAGAAACAGGAGGATCAGGAACTCAGGGTCATACTTAACTACCTAACAAGTTCAAGCCCAGCCTAGGCTACACTAGAGTCTATCTCAAAAGAAATAAAAAAAAGAAAGAAAGAAAGAGAAAGAAAAGGAGAATGACAGAAGAAAGAAGAAAAACCAAGAATAAAGCAAAAGGTTAAATCATCCCTCTTAATGGGATGTCATATGATATGATGGCATATACATACACACATTGTCTAACCAGATTACACATTAAATTCCTACTCATATCTTTTCAGTTTTCTCTTTTTGAAGATCTATTGTATTTTCAATTATGTATAGCCTCTGTGTGTGTGTGCAGGCACTCTTAACATCAGAGGTGTCAGATTGCCCTGGAGCTAGATGAGTTAGAGGTTATAAGCCATCCTGACATGGGTGCTGGGGGCCAAACTCAGATCCATTTCGTGTGTGTGTGTGTGTGTGTGTGTGTGCGCGTGCATGTGTGCACATGCGCACCCACTTGGTGTCAAACCCAGGGCATTGTGTGAAGGCCAGTAAGTATTCTACTGTATCTCAATTCTTTCATCATCACAGATTACATTGGTCACATCTTTTTGCAAATTATATAAAGCAGTAGATCACATGGCAACCTTTCCTTTATCTGACAAGAACACTAGTCTCTCATTGTACCATCATCACCTACCCAAACCAGTCTCTTTCTTAAACAAATCATCCAGTGTGCTTGGTTGCAAACAACAACTGATACAAACAAATATGGATTCATTATAATATTAAGGTTCTCAGCTACAGGAAGGACACAAAATTCATTTGCTATACCGCACAAGAAAAAAAAAAAATGTTAACACACCAAGGGACTCTCCTAGTGGACACACCATGGGCACCAGTCCCAAGACAGCATAAAGATACCCAGCCAGGTATCCCCAGTTGAATACAGCTGTCCCCGAAGAACCAGTGACATATTCATGGTACTCCCTGGAGACCTGCCTGCCTTCTATGTGTAAGGGTCTCTTCACCTGCCTGTCTGCATCCACTGTCTTGGTAGGAATGTAGATCCTTTGATTACAAGGGAGTGTCAGAAAAGGTGGTATTCAGGAAGACCTTCCTATCCTATTTTAGAACAATGTTTGCCATTCCAGGTTAAGAGCTTTTCATTAACTCTTGGAAAAGCCTACAAACTCTGGAGTCAGGCAACCTGTGATATGAAGTGCTCCCTATACCTCCATTCTACAAGTCATACCTCTCTGTCCTCCATGCCTGGCATCTTTACCCCAGTCTCATACACTATCTGGTGTGGAGAAAACGATGGTATGGGTGTCTCTGGAAGCTTTGGATAACCACTGGGCCTGCCTGAGCTGGGTCTTGGGTGCCTTGACCTCAAGCTCAGCCCTTTGAGCCTTTTGAGTGCCACAGCTCCTCCTCTCTCTGCAATCTCTTAGCCATACTTAACCATTTCCTTCCCTCAGCCTCTCTTGCCCTGGTTCTTCCTGCCTGCCTGTGGTCCAGAGTGGTGTGGGAGGTCCCTGATGGCCACTCTCCCAACAGGCCTCCTTAAACCCCAGTAACCACAAGTTGGATGAGGACCTGTGCCAGACACTCACACAGCGCTATGTGAGCATCATGAACAGACTGCAGAGTCTGGGCTACAATGGGCGGGTGCATCCAGCACTGACAGAACAGCTGGTGAATGCGTATGGCATCTTGCGGGAGCGGCCTGAGCTGGCGGCTTCAGAAGGTGGCTCCTACACTGTGGACTTCTTGCAGCGTGTGCTGGTGGAAACTGTGCACCCCAGCATGCTCACTGATGCCCTCCTGCTGCTCTCCTGCCTTAACCAGCTGGCCCATGATGACGGCAAACCCATGTTCATCTGGTAACACTGGTGCCCGGCTGGCCCAGGCTCACTTCACCCTGCAGGCCATCATGCATGGCCATTAAAGTTTCCCAAGACTTGAGTTACTGGGCCCATACCACACCTACCTGCTCCTGTAGGGTACCTCACTATGTACATTTGGTCTCGTCAGCCCTGGAGGGCCACATTCACATCACAGGCCCCTGGAGAGACCTCTCAGATCAAGGCTCCGACACTGTCTTTCTGAAGGGATTGAATGAGATGCCCCAAGTTTCCTTTCACTTGATAATGAAAGCAGAGGTTCTGGGAGTTGGAGCAAAAATAAGAACCAGAACTGGGAAAGAATGACACACAGAAGTCTCCTGTGCTGAGCAAGAGACTGGAGGTGGGGAGTTTCAGGGTCTTGGGGCAGGAGGGACAGTAGAGGAAGGAAAGCCAGACGCCACTGCATTCAAACCTGGGCAGGGGAGCCAGAGAGACGGCAGCACCTTGCAAAGATGTTCAAGGTCTGGGAAAATGATAGGCCCTATCTAACTATGGAAGATCTGGCCAGGGAATAAAGAATATGGGTTGGAGAAAGAAGGATCAAGTGGAGAAAAATAGGATCGAGTAGAGAAAGGACTAGGGGTTCATATGGAGTATTGGAATCAAAGTGTAGCTTGAGATTGGAAAGGCTGAGATATTGCTGGAAGAATGTACACCAAGAATGGGTTGGTTCATCAGAAGGGCAGTGGAGAAAAGCTTAGAATAGCTCCTGATCTGCCTGAAGGTATAGGTGCCAGGGTGACAAGAAGGAAAAGAAGCTGGGCAGTGGTGATGGCCACCTTTGGTACCAGCATTTGGGAGGCACAGGCAAGCAGATCTTTATGAGTTTGAGAACAGACTGGTCTACAAAGAGAGTTCCAGAACAGCAGGGCTACACAGAGAGACCCTGTCTTAAAATCAAAAATTAAACGAAAAAAAGAACCAGGATCTTAGAAAACTAGTCATTACCAGTCAAAGATCAGAAGAGCCTTGGGGACTGAATTCAAACAGGAATCTTATCCAGTACCAATAAAATTCCAGGAACAGAGGTGTGGGGTTGCTGGAACTTTCCAGCTGGATACTCAGGCCCCTTAGAGCTTGCCACCTTCTGCCCTGACCACTCCCATTGGAGAGACTTTGAGAACACAGCCAGACAGCTCATTAACAGTCGCTTCATCAAAATGTCTCCATAACTATCCTGGCATCCTGGGTGAAGACTGGTAGCCAAGACAAACCTGATGGGCAATTTAAGAGATACTTATGGTTGACATCAGGGTGGATGCTGGCTCATAGCTGGAATTAGGTGGGCAGACTTCCAAGGGAAGCAGAGAAAAAAATCTGTGAAAGCCAAGGGACAATGTAAGAGCTTAAAGTTGAACTGGGCAGTGGTGGCGCATACCTTTAATCCCAGCACTCAGGAGGCAAAGGCAGGTGGATCTCTGAGTTCCAGGACAGCCAGGGCTACATAAAGAAACCCTGTCTCGAAAAACAAAACAAAACAAAAAACTAAAGTGTGTTAGAGTGCTCATAGAAAGAGGAACCTCCTTTTACCTGGCTCATCTGGCTCATGTGTCCGGGCAAGCCTCCTTAAAGTATAGAACTAACGGTCTGGTCCGTGTACCTCCCCAACCTTGGCAGGCCATTGGTGTTAAAACTTTGCACTCAGGCACCAAGCCTGCAGTGTAGCCAGACTGAAAGGCTATTCGGAGGGGTGGGGAAGGCTAGGCGGAAGGCGGGGCCCTAAGTTTTTCTGAAGCCCTAAGTGAATCGCCAGGAAGGACCAGCACAGCGAGCAGGGCTGTGAAGTCCGGGTTGTTTTTTTTTTTTTTTTTCCCCAACGGTCACGGAAGTTCTGAGTGGGTGGGGCCAATGTCCAGAACTCAGGCTCCCGGGGCACAGGTCTTTTTAGCTGCGTGCACAGGTTGTGCCACCTGGTCTTGACCTCCTGCAGCTCGTGCGGACTCAACTCTCACGCTGGAATGAATCTCCCTGACGTTTCGCAGCAAAGGAGCCCTGTGAGCCATGAACCCTCACTCAGCTGGCCCCCGACACCAGATGCCCTGAGGCCTTCACCCTTCCCGCACCCCGTGCTACAAGCCCTCCACAGTTTATCCCGTATGCTGCTCTTCCCAGCCTACTGGTCTCTGGACCAGTTGCTGGGGTGCTGGGCACCAATGGCACGATCCAGCAGCTTGGGGTGGCTCAAAGTTCTGGCAGGAAGTGGGGCTGCGTTGCTATCGCTAATGGTAGTTGGCCTACCTCTGGCGGTGTTTGGCCTTGTGCTCTGGCTGCCCCTACAGGTCTGGCGCCGTCCCTTCTGCTACCAGCCTCCTCCTGCCTGCTGGGTGTGGCCACAGCCCTGGCACCCGCCTGCTGAGCGCGGGCGCTGCTTTGTCTTTTTTACTGCCAATATATGCCTGCTCCCTGATGGGCTGGCACGCTTCAGCAACCTGTCGCACAGCCAGCAGCGCGCGGAGGCTATTGGCACAGCACTGTTAGGTAGCCTTCGAATGTCGCACTATTGGGCTACCGGATGCAGCCAGTCACTGCCTGGGGTGCCTGGTGGTGTGCTGAGGGCCACAATACCTATGGGTCTGGACTTCGTGTGCCTGCAGGAAGTGTTTGATCTCCGTGCAGCTCATCGTCTTGTGCGCGTCCTGGTGCCAAATCTGGGTCCAGTGCTATACGATGTAGGCACATTTGGCTTAGTGCCTGGGCCGTACATCAAGGTACTGGGCAGTGGACTTCTACTGGCCTCGCGCTACCCGCTGCTCCGTGCCACCTTCCGTTGCTTTCCTAACGCTCGTGGCGAGGACGCCATGGCCTCCAAAGGTCTACTATCCGCTCAGGTATTAACAGGTTGCAATGATCCCTAGCAGGGAGGGTAGGCAGTGGATCTAACAAGCAGAGAGCTGGAACTGTGGGTGGTGTTGCAGGCACAACTGGGCATCCTGGACGGGCGTCGTATCGTGGGATACCTTCATTGCACACATTTGCAGGCACCTGTTGGTGAGCTCTGCAGGAGGGGTTGTTGGAATGAATGTGGGCAGCCCCTCTTCTCTCCTGTGAAAGCAGCAGGCCCCTAACCTCACCAACGCTTTTGTCCCTACGCCCCAATGTTTATTTTCTGAACCCAGACATCCCAAGAAATGCCTGGGTGGGTTTACAGATCAGGGTATGGTCTTGGATCCCCACTCTGGGCTAAGTCAACCTCAACTATCCTCTTAGAAGATGGGCATGTTCGCTGCAAACAGCTAACGCTGCTGCTGGAATGGGTAGAGGAGTTTGAGGCTGAGAGCCGCCAGAGTGATGATGCTGTAGCCTTCAGTGTCCTCCTGGGAGACCTAAACTTTGACAACTGCTCAGGAGGTGAGAAGCTGGGCCTAGGTGGAGCCCAGAGACTCAGCTCTGCTGCCTGCTGAGAACAGTTTTCTTATACAGATCATGCAAAGGAGCAGGGGCACCAACTCTTCAGCTGTTTTCAGGACCCCTGCCGGCTAGGCATCCGCCAGGAGCAGCCCTGGGCCTTGGGTACTGTTTCTGTGAATGAAGGCAGGGAGAGCTGGTCTGTGAGAGGTCAGCAGGGCTGCTACTGATTTCTGCTCTCCATGACTTCACAGGGACGATTTTGAGCACTTCCACGCTACACCACAGCATTGCCAGCTCCCCAGAGATGTTACGGAGGTAAGTCTGATGGCACCATTAAGCAGGTCAGCTGGGAGGGACTGGCCTAGCCTTGTTGATTCTGTCCCTCTCTTAGGGCCCTGGAACAGGAAAAAGGGCGCCGCCTCTACCTGGCTGGACCCCCTAGTGGAAGTCACTCAGGTAAATCCTGGCAGGGCCGGCGCCTGGACTATATCACCTACCGCGGAATTCCTGACAGTCGCCTGAGTCCAGTAAGTGCCTGAGCTGGGGTCAGCTGGGCATGATCAAATTGAAAACAGTTCTCAATCTGATTCCTACCCCGCAGGATGTGGAGCAGGTGACTTTTAGTACTGCGCTGGCGGGGCTCACAGACCACTTAGCTCTGAGCCTGAAGCTTCAAGTTGTGTGTTCCTGACGCTGGCACACAGACAATCAGCTGACTAGCGAGAAAGACCACCATAAGGAGACTCCAAGGGTCTTTATTGTAGGGTTCTCACACGGCTTCCTGGGCACGGCGGTACTCATATACACTGCCGCGCTCTGGGAAGGCTGCAAATAGCGGGGGTGAGCCTGGTGGTGGCGCTGGGTCCTCCGGGTCTCCATAACCCCCTCCGCCAGGGGTGTGAAGGCAGAATACGTCCTGTGAAGAAGAGCAGGTTCAACACAGGTGTAGCCTTGTCTCAGTAGGACAATCATTTGGGGTCACAGAGGCCACTACCAAATTAAAATTTTGCATCTCTGTTCACCACACAGACTGTGTCTCTTACCCCGGGGTACACAGTCACAGATGTCTTCCCTCCCAAATTCACCGTTCGCCCATCCTTTCTGATTAGAAGGTTTAAGCCTCGTGCACCAGGCTCTCCCCCTACAGGAGGAAGAAACAAGAAGCTGGGAGTCAAGGCAGGCAGGAGCAGGAGATGGGGAGATTGGATACAGAGGTGTGGGCAAAAGAGGCCAGGAAGGGCTGGGGAGCCACCCACCATGGAGGCCATAAGGCTGGAAGGCCCGACGCTCGGTGAGCACAGACAGCAGCGCCTCTTCCCGAAAGACCAGCTCTCGAACCACACCATCACCTCCCCGGAAGCGGCCCCGGCCCCCAGAGCCTGGCCTCAGCTCAAAGCGGCGCAGAATAACTGGGTACCTGTGCAGGTGAAGGGCCCAGCCCAGATGAGTGGGTACTCATCCCCCAGACCAACTGCCTAGCACTGCGACTGCTCTGCTCACCTGCTCTCCAGAACCTCCGGGTCCGTGATGCGTGTGTTAGTCATATGACTGTGTACACCACTGCGACCATGCCAGCCAGGTCCAGCGCCCGTACCACCAGCCACCGTCTCATAGTATCCCATACGGGCGTTGCCCAGGGTCACATTGTTCATGCAGCCCTGACAGAAGTAGGGAACAGTATTTTGTTAATATGGGCATCCACCCCAGCACCCTGTTTTCCAGCAGCCCCCAGACCTTTGCTCCACTACACCTGGGAGGCTGAACAGGCCCCAAAAGCACCCAGAATGACGTCTACTACTCGCTGAGATGTGAGCACGTTGCCGCCCACCACTGCTGCCTCTGGGGATGGGTCCAAGATGGAGCCTTTGGGAATTATTACACGCACAGGAGCCAGGCAACCCTGGTGAATGAAAAGGGTGGGTTGGGTACCACTTAGATTCAGATAAAAAATCCAACCACTGTTTTATTGGGGTTCATTTGTTTTCAGGCAAACTCCGGGTGACTCGGGGTCCACCTGCTGACTTAACCCCTACACACCCCTACACCTGTAGCACACCCCTACAAACCTGGTTAAGTGGGATGTCACGGCCCACTAGACAACGCAAGCAATAAATGAGAGCAGACAGCGTTATGGCTCGTGGAGCGTTGAGATTGCCAAACACCTCAGACCCAGAACCGCTGAAGTCAAACACTGCACTGCCCTACCCAGGAGGAAGAAAGGTGTGGCTATCAGCAACCGGACACACCCCAGAGGCCAGTGCCAGTGCCCTCCCCACTTCCCTCACATACTAACCTGACTCAGGTTGATCTGAACACGCAGGCGGATAGGAGAGCCGTCATCCATGTGATCCTCTGCAGATACCTCCAGAGGCAGGCCCCGGGCCTGCCGGGAGGTTCCAAAAGCCCGAAGCATGTCTCGAACTGCTAGTTCAGCATTTGCCTAGCAGGGATAAGGTTCAGCCCAGCCATGCCACCAGCAGGGTGGCCCAGATAACTTGAAGCAGCCACAACACTACCCCATGTATGCTCCTATTCCCAGGCCCACCTGAATATAGCCCATATAGGCCTGCACCACATCCAAGCCATACTGCCCGATCAGCTCTCCCACCAGCTGGATGCCCTTCTGGTTGGCTGCCACCTGGGCACGAAGATCTGACAGGTTGTCATGCAGGTTCCTGGTTCCACTACAGCCAGAGATCTTGCCTGGTGCCCGCAAGGCCTCTGTCACCGCTGGATAGACAGGGTCACAACTGAGTCACCTTCCATGACCTCAGGAAGAGTTGCCTGTGCTTGCCTGTTCCATACCCACAACACACATACTGAGCACTGGGAGCACCCTATTGACCTTCCACCTCCCCTGTTGGAAACTCCTGGACTCTGAAGATGTAGGCTCCATCTTGCTGAGACCTCTTCTATATCCCAGTATCTGGAGCACCTTTGACAAGCGGCAGTGACAATGACTTCGCTGGAGCTGGAGGTGGCTTGGGAAGCTCATCCATCTGCTTTTTCTAGGTCCCCCTCTACACCTCACAGGAAAGTCAGTCTCCCTGACAAACACACCACATGTGCCTTGTCCTGTCTGCCCTATGTCCTTCCCACTCCCACTGGCTTCCTAGTACTTCAAGAATACAAGACACCACAGGATTGGAGACATGGCTCAGCAGTTAAAGAGCCCTTGATGTCCTTTGAGAGGATCCATGATCAGTTTCCAACACCCACACAAGGGGGCTCTTAACTGCCCATAATGCCAGTTCCTGAGGATCTTATACTCTCTTCCAGTGCACATACATGCACTCTGGGAAACACATACACATGCACTTGTTCCTGTCCTCTTCCTGCAGTTTCTACATCTAGACAAGGCAGTGCTATCTAGCCCAGAGACTATACCACACCAGGGGAAACCCTCACTTTCCAGTCTTGGTCATGGACTTCTCTGAGGTCTACTGGCCACTTGTACTCTCAGCCATGTGTTTAAAACTTGTGTCTCCATGATCCACCTCAGCTCCCAATGATCAAGGTTATTCTATGTATCTGTGACACCCAGAGTGCCCTGTTGCTCTGTTACTCCAAACCTCTACCCTGACCTTATCACCTCAACTCCAAGAATTTCTTTTTGCGTTCTCAGAATCCTATGGCCTTAAACAGGGCTGTCTTTTCCAGTGCCTCCATCTTGCCTGCAGCTGTCTATGCTGCTCAATGCAGTTTCCTTCTGTAGCTATCTAACTCTGACCCTACAGTCCCCAGGTTGTATCACTTTAGTTCCCAAACAGTTCCTCCCACCCTCTACCACCTGGGTATCCACCATTTTTGAAGGTGAGTGCAGCTGTCACATCTGACTCTTCTGCCCACCCTCAGGGTCAATCTGCAGGTAGGTGTGCAAGCAGACCAGTATAGCTCCAGCTGCCCCACTGCCCAGTGACTGAGACCCAAACCCAGACAGAGTTCCTGTATCCTTGATACTCCATGTAGCTTGTAACAGTTGCCAACCTTGAAGCTAAAGTCTACCTTGGGTGTCTTAGCCAATTCCCCACCCCAAAATCATCTTCAAAGATGGTCCAGGCATAAGTCATCTCAACTCTTCTGTATATCTGAGATGATTTACAGCTGCCCTGAGAGGTCACCACTTGTCTTTGCCAAGCCTCAAGGCAGGCCTGAGCTGATATAGCAGTATACATCAGTTGTGTATCAGAATCCTGCCCAACCTGGTTCCTGGTAGCAGCAATGCATCCTTGCCTGCTGAATCATCACTGTACCCCTTCTCCAGCTCACCTTCTTCCTGGAAGACGCCTCCCTGGACCAGTTTGAAGGACAGAAAAACAGCACCCTCCTGTTGCAGTGTGGTAGAGTGGGGAGGCATAGAGCCTGGCGTGATACCTCCAATGTCTGCGTGGTGCCCTCGGCTAGCCACATAAAACACGGGCCGTGTCTGGCCTGGCCAAAACACCTAAGGGGTGAACAGCAACTGTCAGTGGCACCAGAAACTTCTGCCACTCTGATAGTAGCCAAGGTAGCACTCCTCACCCACCGGTGTGATAACAGTCAGGTCTGGAAGATGGCTACCCCCTGCACTGGGGTGGTTGCTGAGCAGCACATCACCAGGATGGAGGTCAGCTCCTAAGTGCTGAATCTGAAACCAGGAGACAAACACAGAGTGGAAAAGGAAAGTGAAGTCATGGGAAAGGGAATGAGCAGAAAGGAAAATGTCACTGTCACCACACCTGGAACTGTACAGTCTCTTGCATGGCGCCCAGGTGCACAGGAATGTGGGGAGCATTGGAGACCAGGCCCCCATCTGGCCCAAAGAGGGCACAGGAGAAGTCAAGGCGTTCTTTGATGTTGGTGGAAATGGCTGTGCGTTGTAGGATTCGGCCCATCTGCTCTGGGGGCACAGAGTAACCAGGTGGCCCCATCATCCACATGCATCACTCCAAAAAAGAGGCACAGGACCCCCATGGTCAAGACCTCCTGGGCCCCAAGGAAGACCAGGGTGGCACATACCTTCTTAAGCATGAAGGCTGTAGTCAGGTATACATTAGCTTATGAAAAGAGCATTCTCTTTCCAGCCTGCCTGGGACCTCTCTTCAACTTTCCTTCTTGAGTGATGCAACAAGAACCTGGTTCCCAAGCTTAGACCCCTGAGCTCCTAAAAGCCTATGGCCTGACTGTGAACAGATGAGCTCACAGTGGATGCATGCCTGCTTCCTATCCCTAGATAGATGAGGGTCACTTGACTCCTCATGAGAAGAGGAAAGTACCTGCCCTGTCCAAGGCCTGCTCTTGCAGCATGGAGTACAATTTAAAACCAAGGTCATACTCCCCACCCCCAACCTGCAAGGATCCTGCCCTTCCCCCTTGGCACACTTGCCAGGTTACTACTTGTAACAAGAGCCAACGTTACCCCATGTGTCTGTACTTTTGCCTAGGATGCAACCCTCCCCCCCCACCATGTCCTACATCACAAATGCCAGTGCTCCAAAGAGGACAGCAATGTTCACTCACCAGCGATGCTCATGAAGCGGTGTGAGAAGATAGATAGCTGGATGGGGTCGAGCTTGGTGCCTGCCATGCTAGGTGCCTCAGCTCCCACAGAAATGCGGATGTCCCCTGTCTCAGTTACCTCTGCTTGGCAACCTGGTTCTACGAGGATGGTGCTACGGGCAGGGGACACAGAAGAGCTACAAGAAGGCTGGCCACAACCTTCCCTCAACCAGGGATGTCATTACTTCATGCCAGGAGATACCCCAATGATGGAACCTCTGCTGTGAAGGGTCCTGCAATAACCCTTCCAAGGCTATAACCCAACCCAGGCTTACCTGTTGTTGTCAATGATAAGGCAGGGCCCCTGGAGCTGGTGCCCATAGCCCAGCTCTCCTAAAAGGTACACGGGGGTCTCCTGATAACCCCCCTCAAAGTAGCACTGGGTCACCTGCAGAGGGTATGGAATGAGCTGGGCTTCTAGACCATCTTTCCCGAGGCCCCTCAACATGGCCAGGCCTCCCCATTAGCTCTTGTCCCCAGGTCCTG